CCCGAAAACAGTTGTCAAACTGGGCATGCAAATTACGCCCAAGTCTGTCCACATTATCCTCCAATGTCCAAAGGAAGTTGTTCATTGTCATATTACTATCATGTGGGAATTGATTTATATCAAGTCTCACAGATGCTATTTTACCCTCTGGTACATTTGTATGGAACAAACAACCTAAGCACAGAAAAAAAAGCCTTTAATCACAAACACAAAAAAACACAAGCTACATCGTGAACAGGAGGTGAACTCCTTGTCCTTAAACAATTTTAGTCAGTTATTATTATATTGTATTTTTATTGGCATTAGTTTCAATTTGAAATTCTCTTATTTATAAGTCTCAATCAGCTTCTTCTCACATGAAAGTAAAAAAACACTGATGTGGATAACATTTTTAACAGGTGGTTACATCAAAATAATTAGTGGGCAAGTATTGTAGCCTTGCACCTGTGTGTAAATTTCTACCATTTGATTTGAATTACAAATTAGGATTACTGTATTTTCTCTGTTAGAAGTACACAGGTAAATGACAGAGGTGTTTCTATGGTCAAAATTTTTGGGCTAGATGCACTTCTATTAGAAGTACACTTCTAATAAAGGAAATAAAGTATACTGATAAAATCATGGTAATGACCCAAATACATATGAGTACTATGACAAACCCATCCACCAAGTACTGTAAAGGGATTAACCATTCACTGGGTTTTATTTGCCCTTATTTTGACAATTTAAACCCAGAGAAAATGAATCATTTTACAGTATATTGGGCCATTCTGATGATGCAAATATTGTAATGACCTAACCACAAAGCATGCAAATTAATCACTGACCAGTATTTGCATGTTCATTTACCAGGGTATCAGAATTTGTGTTAGTGTCTTTGCAAGAAGAGTCCAATTGAAAATATGTTACTATTAAAGCGGGGGAGTCATCACATGCGTATGCGTCAGATGGCCATAGCGTGTCAATGTTTACAAACAAGCATTTGAGCCTTTACGATTTCTAGCATGTGTTATCATCGATGTTGTTATCAAGATGGGACATTCTTCAGTGATTCAAAATTCAAGAGGAAAAATATGGGGTTAATGCAATTATATTAGCAGATGGACCATGGGCAAATGATGGGTTTTACTAGCATTCATTTGTTGAACTAAACTTTCAGAATTACAATAATGTGGTATTTATTCACCTGTTGCATGCATTGGTACTCGTAGAAGATGTTCTGTGTTTTTGTCATTTTTTGATAGCTTTGGCACATTCGTTTTTTTCTGGTCCATTCCATCTTGTATAATGCATGTTAGCTCTTCTGGTTCTCTTACAGCCATTTCACGTGCAGTATGGTAAAAGTTTCTTTCTGTGCTGCATGTACAAAGATAAGTTCGGAAATCATCTCGCAATACATACATACTAGGTACTTTCAACACCTTTTTGCACAGAGCATGTTTACATTTAATATTGAAACTGCGATTATAGTATAGAATGGAATGTACAAAATATCTTACCTTATAAGATGTTCATGCTGATGTTTTGTCTTTCTTATTGCATTTCTTTCTGCTTCTGATGTTGCTTGTTCCAGTGCCTCTGTTATTTGTACACAATCTCCACACACACTAAATTCAGTTCGCTATTCCAAAAAAAATTACATACTGTTTGTCAAATACAGAATACACATTTTTAAGTACAATTTTTTTTTCAGAATATAGACACAACATTTTGCTTTTTATGTATCTTTTATGTATTGTTTGTGCAAAAACTCTCCATGAGTTAGTCGAGTCTAGTTTTGATTTTTACATCCGATTTTAACTTTTTTAAGCAAAGATAAGAAAATCCCTGTAAATATAGTGCTAGATTTTCAAAATGGTACCAAATACTGGTTGTGATATCATTCATGGGAACTTAGAAGTAGGTTGTCTGTCATATGAATCAAGTACAGACTTTCCAACACATTTTAAAGGACCACCAGACATGTTTTTCCTGCAGCAAATTATTATCTGTCAGCCTTTTTGGTTAATAATTAATAGTTATATTAATTGTAAATTCACTAGATATACAGGTAGCACTTCTCACCAAATATTGATGCAACTGGGTTCATTCTTTCGAGACTGAAAATATCGCTGAAGTAGAAAAATTTATTTAAATAAATGTTTTTCACACAAGTGTTATAACACAAGAAACTACATATAGTGTCAAGTGGGCAATTTGTTGAGATGCTACATGTAATTATGAACAAAAATAACTTTAGCTGATTTTTCCACAGATTGAACAAATGCATTGATATTATGTACAAAAATGTCCATGTACTTACTTGTTCAATCACAAACTCTGGCAGAAATTTCAGCCAAACAGCACGGAAATATGAATAACATATCACATCAGTTTCACTCCAAAGTCGTTCAGCAAGCTCCCTCTTCATTCGGTCATACAGCATAGTGGCATTATAGAAGACGGGTAGATATATTTTTTCTTTATGTGGCATAAAATCACCAATTCTTTCAAAGCGAAATCTCATCCAACCAAGAGCTTTTGCTGTTTTATCCATCTGCCATCTTCTTCCCTTGTTTTTATGAACAAGCTCTTTCTTATTCTGAACAAAAGCATGCACACATTCTTTGTATCTTTTATCAGATACATTATACACAAGGCACCATGCTTTTGGGCAAACCCTCTTACCATTTATTACTAACACAGTTGTCACAACTGCTCTATTCTTCACATATTTAGTGTAAGAATTGTTGGCGAA